ACTTCCTCCTACCACCTTGCCGACTCACTGGTAAAGGTAGTTGAGATCAAAGAAACATTTTCCTCTTTTCAACCTACAGACTCACTTTTAAACGTTGTCGAAATCAAAACAACACTTCCTCTGGCTGATGCCACAACTGCACCTCAGTACAGGCTTTGCCCGTGGCCACTGCTACCTGCGACTGCAAATGGGACTTCTGTATACAATAAACTTCTCATTCTGGTGACTCTTGCCTTTTCCCTCCAACCTGGGATTCGACCTGATGATTGTAGTGATCTAGGCACAGCCACGGCTTAGACCCCTACAAACTTCAACAACAACTGCCCAATCAGCCACAAACGCAGTTGCGTAAGGACGCATTATCGGTATGTTCAGACGCACTGCAGTGAACCAGAAGTCAAAGTCGCCGAAATACAATATATTTGACGGGTGTTTAAAGATAATGGCTACCCGCGCAACCTCTTCAACCGATTCATGTGCAAACGAGATGGCCAACAAAATCGCACCCACCCCAAATTTTGGCGAGCGATCCCGTAGGTCAAAAACGTCTTTGAGGTCGTCGACTGCCTTCTCGTACCACTTGGATTTGAATTCACATACAGGCCGGAGACAACCATAAGGCGTTACATAATGAAATCAAAAGACCAACTATCACGGCAAGAAGCATGTAGAGTTGTCCATACGATAAGGTGAAGTTTGGGACAAAGCATCTACGTCGGAGAAACTGGAAGACTCCCCAAGACGCGAATTGTCGAACACGCGGTAGCAGTGCAGAGAAATGACGTCAATTCTCAAGTTGTGGCTCATTTGACGTGACCCGGCCACACATTCAAATTTTAGGAGGCCGAAATTATCGCGAGGTGACAATCGTGAGTCGCAAATTACTTGATTCACGGCTTGAGGGTCCCTAGTCTGTAAACAAGTGCAACGATCTGCCCAATCCATATTCGGTGCTGAGGCTCAATTTGGCCAAAAGCAGTTGCTATTTGGTGGGTGCACAGACCAACGCATCATCTACCGCCAACGCCGGAGAACCAAATGGTCGAGCAATAATTACGTCCACTTCCACCACAATTGGTGAAAGTTCAGCAAGTCACAGCCCGCACGCCGGTCATTAAGCAATTAGCGCCGAATCGGACAATTATCCTCAATAGGAGAGTCGTTAATTTTCATAAATGTGCAGTATCATATTGAATATCCTGTACTGTACTGCAACTCTTGGCGCATGAAGTACCCGTTTCTGCTACTGTTTATGCTAATCTCTCTGATCAGGAATCTGCAACGGACTTCAACACGTCAGACGGATTAAAGTCTTGTCCCAGCGATCGCAATTATTTCAATTATATTCTGGGACTCGCATTTTCGCTTGCATTGGCAGATTATAACCATTACGAGTGTCCGACGGCTTATAAGTTCCATTAACAAACGGTGTTATGGAAGATGAGCATGCGCATTAGGCAGTCGTGTACTGTAGGAGTTCTAGGATAAAAACCTTCCCGCCACTCTTGCCGATAAACATGTCAGTGCTATGACGATCTAGTCGACAGGATTTAGTGGCATGAAGGCCTACGCTGTATGAGCTGGGATCCGTCAAGCTGCCTCCTCCATAATTTTGTCTTGTGCTAAAATCCTAGTAAAGTGTTTGTTATGGATCAGGGAGCGTAGTAATACGCTTACGTGCAAGTTTACACAGAGTCCGCTCCCTGCGCCCGATCCCACCTTCGGTCTTCTTGAATTTTTCTTGACGCCGGGCACAGGTAGGTGAGGAAAGAGAGCACGGTAGACGCAATGCAAGTCTCCTATCACTTAAAACTAACTCGTGCGCAAGTCCCCGTACTTGCTTTTAGTACTCCGTGAAGCACGCGGTGGACATCGTCGAAGTCGACTATCGAACGGTCATATTTGGCCAAAATAAACGACTTGGTGCAAGAAGATGCATTACTACCCCGAGAAGTTGTGAATTGCGTATTCACTGGAGTTTTTTGAGACATCCTGTCAATAAATTGATCTCGCCGTCGACATTCACCACGTTGAAAACACGAGGAAAAGTCAATGAGACCGAAGGCTGACATGAGCGCAGTAGGTGACAAAGTCTCGCTTATCGCATAACACCACGAAGACGGGTTGTCCGATAGCTCAGCTGCTGGCAGCCTGGTGAGTCCACAGGTGGCGGATAGTGGAACGGCCTTTAGCGAAGGTAAGCTGCGAAAGAAGCAAGCTCCTGGGTCTGGCGGATAAGCAGTCGCGGACCAGTAGCTACAGTGCTACCAGGGCTCGAACGGTTGTGGTCTGACGCATCGACTGTTTTGTAAAATGTCACAAGTGCCAATGACGGCACTGTGACATGGCCACCGTGAAGCGCCATTAAATAGGTTTGCTTGCTACCGCTGTCTTGTGGTTAGGTTATTGAGCTAAACTTCTAGAGAAGAGAACCACGAAAAAACAATCCGAGCGGCTGTTGGGGACCCACCTGTATTACAAATTCCCGAGAACCCTCATGCAGATGTCTACTTACGGTAAATCAGGTAGAACACCTGATCCTGAACTCCACACGTTCAAAATTCCATGCAAGTGGGCGATTTTAGGCTGACATTTAGCTCTACTAACAGTAGTTGGCCAATATTATGAATCTTCGACTAAAATTCTGGAACATGTTCTCGATTAGGGAGGGGACAGTAGTAATTAGCGTACCTTGAGTGAAAGAAGACTAAGTAAGTAGAGTGAAGTTTCTTATTGAATTGCGGCACCCTAATAAATTCAAATATAGTTGATAGAAGACAGGCATAAATGATCAATTCTAAAATCATTTCGTAGCCCATTACGCTTTTTGTAACTTAATACTTGAAGTTTAGAAAAGTTTGAAATTATGAGATGGCTTGAGAGCACGAAACGTCTATTCATACAGCAGTGTATCTGCCTTGAAGCTATCACGACGCACGACTCGAAGCTGTGGCTTGGAAGCTTTCCAAATAGAAGGATAATTCGGGCCTCACATTTAGCCAAGTGTGTGCTTCTATGGAATGGCCGACTGGCGGAGTGAGAGTCAAGCTGCGACGGCTCCTTCTTAATGTGGCTTCTGCAGCATTTCCACTCAGTGGAATCCGAGCCGGTGTGGTGGCAAGTTAAGTGGCGGCGCAAGCCGCGCCAGCAACCTGCGCCTGATCTCACCTTCGATGTTCTTGACTGTGCCTTGATACCGGGCCCAGTTGGGAGAAGAGGCGAGAGTGTTATAGACGCTGTGTAAATCTTCTACCCCTATAAAATAATTCACGGACAAGTCACTGTCCCTGCTCACGATGGGCATCATCGGAATTGGCAGTCGAACTTTAATTTATACAGATTCGTATGCAAACCAACACTGAGGCCTCTTTGAGGATGTGGCAAACATTCTCGCCTACCTGAATTAAACCGTCAGATTTTCAGTAGTACAGCTCGGAAGGCAAGAATGTTTTCAGCGAGGATTCTGGTACAGGCTAGTAAAAAAATCACAAATAGTACACCGGCGGCCTGAAGAGATGGTCAACGTAAAAGCGGACCCGGAACAGACGCCTGCCAGTAAAGGGCTAGACGCATGCACGCCTTTTATAGGCAGATTCAAAGGCTAATCGACAAAATCACATACGAAACTGAAGTTCACGATTATGAAATGAGAAAAAAGAAATCGACTTACCACACCAACTACACCTTTGCCGTTGACAGATTCCAGGCTACCAGTTACGGAAAATACTTTCCAGAATCGTTCGCGTAGCTGCACAGCTTCGTCCGTTAGATTCTCCAGGCGGATGAGATAGCGCCACTGAATACACGTATGTATACAAATGAAAGGCATATTAAGTATCACATTAGAGTGGCGACGGAAGCAAAGTCTGCAAACCAGGGCAAGACCGCCTCAATAATTCGGTTGACAGAAGGCACGTAGTAAAAGGCTTCTAGTGAGGGGGGTAAGCGGCGCTAGGTGAAAATAAAACTAAAAAAAAGGTTGCTGGAATTAAAATCGAAAATGCTCCGTTGATACACTTATTTTCAAAATACAACGGTGAAGTATCTGAAATTAAGATCCATTCTGGGTTTCTAGTTCTTCACGACTACTTCTATTATTTCAAAGGGATAAGACTTAGATTCAAACAAAAGAGCATGAGCCCAAAGTAGCGCTATGGTATTGGAATACAGCCTGTTAAACAAAAACCTTTAAATGTATCTAGATCTAGAGTAAGAAAAGAGTAAATTTCTTAAATAGGTGTAGAACTGAAACCTAATCTAGACATTGAACACAGCGCTTGATTTATACTATCGATTTAGAATTCGCAAAAATCTGACCGACGCAAACATTTTGACACGAGCTTCAACGATGAAAAAGGTTAAGAAGTACATTGATAAATGTATAAATGTTGAAAGGTTTGTGGGAGTGGTGTTCGTCAGTATCGCAAAATTGTAAAAAGGAATATAAGAAATTCGGTTTCTTCAAAGTAGCTATCAGCAGTAGCCAGGTTATAAATCTGTTCACAGTACCCGCTCCATCCCGTTTATCTTGACCTCCACAGTAACACATTGGCTACGTCAGGATGCTATGTTCTGTGGTAAAACATCAAAAATAATGATTGTTTTACATCCTACGAGGTTTTTTGCTTGGCACTGTGGAGCTGAAATCAACGCTATGAACGCCTTGAGACCACGTTACACGTTTCAAGAACAATATAGTGGCTATCCCTCATACATGTCGAAAACAACAGCTTGCATCTCGAGCCAGATGAGGGAACTTAGTGATATGAGTATAGCCTTTTCTTGCTGTTATCAAAGCAGGCCTGTACCAATAAATGCGGCTGACTCTGATAGCGGGGGGGGG